ATGCCCTTCCTTAGCGGTTAATATGCATACAAACCATTAGAATAAAGATCATGATATATTATTAAATGAACTACAATCAACAAATTGACGTCAACGATATTCCATTAAAGTTTTGGAGCCTCAAATTTTAATTTTTCGTCACGTTCGATTACGAATATGATCACTGTCGAGTGAAGACATGCAAAACGAAGGGACCTGTTGCAATGTGGGAGCTAACCTGAAAGGTTATAAAGTAGAAGAAACTGAGCCATACTGCGAAGTTGTCTGTCGATGACCATGAGTCACAACGGCAGAAAAGATAATTCTTCGAATGGCTGCCTGTGCATCATGAAATTTCACATGATTCTGAAACGGCTCGTCGTCTATTGTAAGCCTTTCTTCTTCACATGTGAAAATCGCAACTGCAATGTTTTGGACTTCTGCTCACAATGTAATAGGACAGATTCGCAAGGTGCGTTCTCTTGGCAAAATTCTGCCATAGACAGTTCAGACGCGCAGCGGACTCTGTGTAACTAAACTTAAACAATACCGTAAACCTGAATCTGCAGGAGACGGCGTAAGGTTGGGGTTTAGGGGTACGTCTGGCTATTGTAGCACAAAATCGAAGCACAAATTACCGGCTCAGACCGAACGACGACATAATTTCGCTTGATCAATATATGAATTAATTCACAACTATATTGACAAGATACATATGGCTACTGTTTTACCATTTATCACTGTCGCTTTCATGATGCATAATTTTATTTGTGTCTAAAATGTTATAAAGCCAACACCTATTAAGAAAGTTTAAACAGATATCATGTACAATGCACGTTTCTAGATGAACAAGTTCCCCGTTACGTTCCGCCCACAAAATCCATTATTTTCATTGTCAATGGTACACTCAGAGAATTTCTTACTGGTGACAAAGCACATTTTGCTTCATGGCTAGACGATTATGTTAAAAGCAATTCAATAAAAAATTTTTGAACGTTCTTGGCAATATATATCATGTCTATAAAGTCAACCACAAAATCATGGCTGGCGTTTACGTTTGGCATCAGGCATTTTGGGGAGGGCGAAGGTTCGCGCCTTACCCCGGTCCCCCACTGGGTATCTTTACAGCTGACGGTTCTCACTTAGAAAAAAAGAACAACGGACGAATTTTTGCTGTGACGAACTGGCCCCCATGGGCAAGTAATCAATCAGTGAACTTCGACAAAGATTGTATAATAAGCTAAAACGGATATGAAAGTTAGAGGCAATAAGTCACAAGTGACAAACGCGTTGGTATGGAAATGAGTATGAGGTGATCCCCACTGACAATGAGAGGGGTCGATTACGGATCAATATCACCGGATGTGAAGCTATGAATCGGAGATGAGATTCGTTCTCCAGTCAGTCCAAAATCGATAGGTTCAGTAATAAATTAGCAACAACACAATCAAAATCATACAACATTTTCAGAACTACCATAATTCTTTATTTGGGTGGACAGTTCTTTATCAGCGTGGTTTTCAAAGTGTTTAATCGCCCTTAAGATTGATTTAACTGTCGCTTCTAGGGAATAAGGGAAGTGTTTTTAAGAAAGTGCATATTTCCTCAATTTACACAAGTTGCCAGTATACTTTTTCTTACTTCGCAAAGGGGACCTACGAAAATTTCGATCGGTTTTGAAAATTCGGCAGGGTAGGTCAGCTGTACTATATTGATGTCGTGGTAGATCAGACTATAAACTTCATTGAAAATCCTGGTAAATCCATTTTAACCGATTCCCTCCATCCACTCTATCGGGGTCTCAAAATTCACTTTAAGATCTCATTCCATAAGGTCCCAAAATGTCTGTATCTATGCAAGTACTGAAGAATACAGAAAATCTGTGATCCCATGATCCGACAATTCGACCAGATGGCCTGAACTCTGCAGAATGGGGAAAGACAACGATAAATTGGCTCGAACTGAACCTCTCTTGTCAACCCATACATTTAAACATTCGCATGCATTAACTTTTTATTTATTAATCGCTTACAATTCATCATTCTTCATTCCGTGTTTCATTAAGAAGGATTTTGCTGTTATGCATTGTATGTATACTGTCATATCAATGAGTCCGTGATTGTTGAATTTGTAGTCGATGTTAGTTTATTTGCAATATTTCTGTAAACAGGAAATTCATTTGATTGATTGACAGATTTATTCACCCCTCAAAGGAGTGTCATATACAATTTGTCCGACGTTTCAAATCACATGAATCAGTTCTCAGAGGCCATGTCCACCGCAGTTTGAATACAAGATAAATCCGATAAACAAAGTCTGCGAATGGTAAAAGTGTGACTGACAGGGCTCCTGAGAATGGATACAATGTGAGATACAACACAGCAATGAGCATGTAACACTGTTGTGTGACGTAGCAAACCTTTCAATGCAACTGGGATAAGAAATTATTCAATATTTGAATTTTACTGCCGGCTGGTACTGCTGCTTCTTTCCCAAAGGACAAGGGCAGTTGTTATTAAACAATTTAAAACATTTGTATTCATCGAAAAAGAATACATTATTTGCAATATACGGTTTTTATGCACAAACAGATAATTTTATACCTCAATCTATAATCAATTAAGAAAGCATCACTGACAGCAGTGAATAGGTAAATCTGTATTCACGCCTTACCGTTATTTAAAGATTTCATCTGATTAATCATTAACATGAGATTCGGTATAATTAACATAAAAACGCACCTTAGCAACTTCGTCCCAAACTAAGCGAGGCTTCTTGCGTTTCTTTATTCCCTTAAGCTTGGCAAACTGCTCCCATTTGGTCGGAAGCCGGGGCTGAGGTATCTGAAAAAGAACGAGTGAGGATTTATTCTGCTTCATCAAACAAAAATTAAACAGAATACATGAATTCTTTATGAGGGTGGAAAGCTGTTCATGGCCCCAATTTACTTAGGGTTACTCGGCATGTAAATTTCATTGAATAAATTCCATTCATTTCGGACTGAGCTAGGTCCATTTTCAAGGGCATTGTATAACAAAATTACATGTCCAAAGCAGTCTGCAGGTTTGCAAAGATGCTGACGATGATGAACGCAAACAACAACATAACAAACTTGCAGAAAACAGTGTTTTCAATCTGAATGTTGTCTGTTTTTGCACTTGTTACGCGACGCCCTCCTGATGGTGGAGTGCATCCAGCTCGATTCGAAACGTCAGGAATTTCCTTAATAAAATTTATTTTTGGAGTAAACCCTTTGACTACTTTGGCGATCATCAAGGAAAACTGAACCCCGCAAGTTCAAGAATGAAAAAATAGGTGTACGCTAAATAATCTTGAATATGACCAGAATGGTAGCTGACGACTGAAGGTCTAGGTCTAAACCTTCCTGTGGCGATCAGGACAAACGGTACGCGTAATCGACGTAATAGACAGCAATAAACGTCACTGTTCTAACAGAAGATCAGATAACAGTAACGATGAATGAACGCTTTCGCTGTAGCAACATAGTCTGAAAGAAATGTGCAGCGATTCCTTGAAGAACATCTCAAGCGGACGTTGCTGTCATTGCAAACAGCCAAATGAGTTCGTAGGTGCGTAGAATTGATCGATCTTCCGAAAACGTGAAAATTTCAAATGCAAAGTGGCCAAAGTATAACTTGAACAAATTCGCATAGATTCAGACAGAAAGTAAACCTGTGATGACTGTTTGCCACATTAAAAAGGATAATTCGCATTAAGAATCGGTTTTACTATCCGGCTACCATCAGAGAATGGCATAAACACCCCTTGAAATATTTCAATAAGTCATCCAAATTACTGATGACTCTGGGGCACGGCGTTCACGCAGTCGGTTTTTGAAGTCTGAAGGCGTCAGATTCGAATACCGAGAGAGAAAATACTTTTTCGCAACCGCTACTTCCCCTTGAGCAAGAAATTCATCCTACGTGGCTTCAGTACAATCTGTCATGAAATGATAAATAAGTCGTTGATTTGTGAACAACAGGGTCAGCTTGGTACTCCGGCGCAGTCGTACCAGAATGGGCGAGGAGTACTGCCATGCTGCCCAAAGCGAGCTCCCCTCGTGGCTGCACTGCGTCGTCATCTACGCAAGAGCTCACTATTATATGTAATAATGAGCAAAAGGTATAATCCCATAAAAATTTCTAATGACGACATTGGTAATGTCAAATAAAGCCGCT